TCACCTCTCCTCAACACCGCCCTCTCATCATGGGGCAAAATGAGATATCTTCCTGGAACGTAAGAGTTAGAACTTCTCTTTCCTACAGAAGCAGACCCGTAAATGGTGGCTAGAGTTAGGACCTGTCATATTAAAGGTGAAACAGTCATCTGTAGGCTGATCTTGGAGGTTCTCACAGGAAAATATCTGAGTTCTAAAACGTTAACATATACACAATTGTCTCTGTAAGACAATTCATTGCAGCCTTGAATGAGAATACAAATTGAACCCCAAATCCAAGGTTTTTTCTGGTGTGAAGAGATAAATACTATCCTAGTAAGTAAGGCTGAGCATTTCTAAAGTGGCAACCTCTCCTTCCAACCACACCTATGGTGGGTTTTAAGTTCATTTTTGTCTTTTTTATCCAAGTCCCTGGCTCTATAAGTGCAACAGTAAGCTATAAAAAGGAGTATTTTGATATAGTGCCCATATAACCAAACATATCATATCCAAAACACCACTTTCTGTCCCACGGGCCATTCTTCATCTCCACGGAGCACACCACCCACCACACCCACTTTTATCCACCACACACACTTTTATCTGCCCAGCCTGTTTCTCAGTTATTTCTCAAGGTTTCTGCACACAAACAAGCTCTCTTGCATCTGAGCTGCTAGGCTTCTGACCTGTCTTCAGACTTCTATTCAGTGTATGTACTAGTGAGGTCCTACTATGTGCAAAGATTAGCGCTAACCTCCTGTTCTTTTTCACAAGGCTCACCTCATTGAAGAAATAAATCTGAGACTGTAGCCTTCAAACTCTTCAACTGTGAATGACAGTAAGAAATAATTTACATGCAACCCAATGCACAAGCCTATCCTTCTTCACACATCCCCTCAGAAGATAACTCAGAAGTTTTATATAATATTCTTACCATGGTATGATAAATTAATATTCTTCACCCCATTCCATTTAATATTTTTAAAAGTCCTTTTGGCAAAGAGATATTAGCACTCCAATGTTCATCGAAGTTATTCACAATAGCCAGGATGCAGAGACAATCAAATGTTCACTGACAGAAAAGAATGAAGAAAATGTGGTACATACAAGCAATGGAATGGGACAATTTAGATGAATCTTGAGGACATTATGTTAAGTCAAATACATTGGTCACAGAAGGACAAATACTGCTTGATTCTACTTATATCAAGTACTAACAGAGTCAAACTCATAGAATCAGAGAGCAGAATTGGGCCAGGGGCTGGGTGGAGGGGAAAACTGAGGAACTGCTAACGGTAAGCATAGTTTCAATTATGCAAGATAAACTAGTTCTAGAGATATGTACAACATTGTCCCTGTAGCTAACAATACTGTATTTGTGCACTTAAAAATCTGTTAAGGAGGTAGATCTCGTGTTAAGTGTTTTGCCACAAACACACACACACACGAGAAGGTCCTGGTTGGAATCTTCTAAATGCATTTGTCAACCTACTGAGTCATGACCTGCAGTCTGAAAAATAATGCTCTATCATACAATAAGGTGATTATATTACACTGACATGATGCTGATGATGCTAGAGGACTCGTTAGAGGCATCAGCAAATACTCAGGCATGATAAGGCCCTCCCATCCTCACCCGGCAAAAAAAAAGTCACACCTTCTGTCTGCCTATAAGAAATGTAGAGAGATGGCCAGACACAGTGGCTCACACCTGTAATCCTAGCACTTTGGGAGGCTGAGGTGGGCAGATCACCTGAGCTCAGGAGTTCGAGGCCAGCCTGGCCAACATGGTGAAACCCCGACTCTACTAAAAATACAAAAATTAGCTGAGCATGGTGTTGGGCACCTATAATCCTAGGTACTCAGGAAGCTGAGGCAGGAGAATCACTTGAACCCTGGGAGGCAGAGGTTGCAGTAAGCTGAGATCATGCCATGCACTCCAGCCTGGGTGACAAGAGCAAGACTCTGCCTCAAAAAAATGAAAAAAAAAAAAAAAAAAAAAAAAAAAAAAAAAAAAAAAAAAAAAAAAAAAAAAAAAATGTAGAGAGGTACCATAAGGGAGAATTAGTATCTGCATCCCAGATCAAGGGTGGAAGGGAGAACTAGCTGGGGGGAGACCAAGGTTCCACTCAAGTGGCATTGCAGGAGGAAAAAGTAGGGTGGGGCTTCTCCAATCACCTCGGTCTTCACAATCTTAATTCTTCCCTTTCCATCAGGCAACTGTCAACACTCAAGGGCAGGAATGTTATTCTTCTCAAAAATTCTATACTCCACCCAGAGACATAATTGAAGCAAATTTAAAATAATGAAAAATGAGCAGCAGGTTATGTTTTCCAACTAAGATGACTTTTCTATCTCAGTTTCAGTTTCTGTTTACTTTTCACTTAAAAGGACAATAATATGTTAGTTGGAGGCGGGGGAGCAAAGGAACACGTGGAAAAGAAAAAAGCCTAGGGGAATAGAAACAATAGATCATAAAACAGTAAAGTGCTGGTAAAAGCAGCATTTCAAGACAGGTTGGAAAAAATCAATTTATAGATCTGTATTTAATTTATGACACAGTAGTATTTGGAACAAGAAATTTGAAGGTACAGTCTCAACAGTCGCTAAAGAAAGTTTCCAGTGAACATCATTTACACATTTCAAGGTAACAGCAATGTTACCAAATCTCTTTTTTGGGTGGGAGGCTAGGGTCTCACTGTCACCCAGGCTACAGTGCAGTTGAACAATCATGACTCACTGTGGCCTCCACTTCCCAGCCTTAAGCAATCCTTCCAACTCAGCCTCCTGAGTGGTTGGGGCCACAGGCACATGCCACTAATTTTTTAATTTTTTGTAGAGATGGGGTCTTGCTATATTGCCCAGGCTGGCCTTGAACTCCTGGGCTCAAGCAATCCTCCTGCCTGTGCCTTCCAAAGTGTTGGGATTACAGGCCACCATGCCCAGCCATTATGAGTCTTAATGCAACACCAAAGTCTGATTCTCCACAGATCTACCCAGTCTAATTTTTTTTTCAATAAGTGTTATGACCTGGCTGAAATGCTAAGCCCAGTTTTCTCTCCTCTATAGATGCAGAATATAAGTTTGCATTATTGTCACTCTTTTCCAAGCCCCTTGATCTTTTGGAGAGGGGAGGAAGTAAACCTATGGCAAACCTCCCTGTGAAACCCTGTTAAAGCCAGAGACACAGTACTTCATGACTCTACTCTTCAGCTCTTCGCACCTCAACTTACCCAACAACTACAAAAGTTACTTAAAATAGGTAGTTCTAAAAGCTTTTTCTGCCAACAGGAGAGGCCTTTTTTAAAAGGGGAAGACTACACGGATTCCTGAAGGGTCTTTCAGGAATACACCAAGTGGGACAAAGACAAGGGGTGGCAGGGGGGTGGGGCATTGTCTACAGAATGAGTTGATGAGCTCCAACTGTACTGCAAATTTCCTGTTGATGTAGTTCTATCTGGGAAAATAGACTACCAAAGATATGAAATGCCTTTCTCTTTAGAGAGGCCTGGTTAAATGTCAAAAGAAGCACACACAAAAAATTTTTAACTTTGGACTGCTCTGGAATGACTAGTTACCTTAACTGGGAACTTTAAATGGTGGTTCATTCACTCATTCATGCCGCAAGGGCCTGATGCCAACTACACGAGACACAGGGCTGGGTCCTAGGAAAACAGGGATGAACAAGAAGCATAATGTCCCTGCCCTATTTTGTCTTACGTTTTCCTGTAACACACAATACAAAAGTGAATATATAAAATGGCAGATGCTGTAAAGAAACAATGAACATTACAGTAAAACTGAAGAATTATCACCAAACACATGCTGTGCCATTTTTTCTGTTCAAAGAAGTGTGACAACGCAACCCACTTTTTGTAGAAACATGAATTACCAGCCATCATGCTTTCCTAATTTAAAAGAGTAAAATTTCTTCAGCTGTAGGAGGTAGAATTATCTCCCAATCCTAGAAATTTTTTTAAAAACTTTTTGCAATGAGATATTCTGCACTGGTCTAACAGCACTTCCGCACTTAGGCCAAGAGTGATAACAACACTGGCCAAAAGACAAACAATTTACACAGGTGGCAGGCCCTCGAAGGCAAAAGCTAAAAACAAGACAAACAGAAATGGAATTCTCAAGAAGTCAGTTAATGTGTACTCCAAACACATGTAATTTCGTAATTTTCAAAAACAGAAAGGGAAGGCACAAAAAGTTTTGGAAGATGACACTAAACCAACAGTTTTAACATTGCTGCATTCCAGATCATTCCAATAAACAATGGTTCAACACACTGAGAATCTACAGACATTTCATCTCTAGGCAGAACACTGGTTTGTAAAGTTTAGATGCTGGACCTAGGCCATGGAAAGACACTAGCAAATCCTAATGTTGAAGCTCTTAAACGCATTCCCACTTAAAATTAAACAGGATCGGGAAGGTTCCTCCCCCTTATAGGAAAACTGAGCCGTAATTTACTGGGTTCAATTTATAAACTATAAAGTGTGTGTGCTGGAGGGAAAGGGAGATGATAAGTTGGAGAGTTTTAAGAAAAAGACACCTGCATGAGGTAGGGCGAAAGTGGACATCCTGAAGACCTGATTTCTAAAAGCAGCAGGCCTGCTAGGACAACTTAGCCTCTTTCATACCGCAAAAGCAAATTTTAAACCTCTAAGGTGGATGCTGGTAGTTGCCGGTCTGCAGATACACCAGGCTGAAGAGTCGCAGCACCTAATGTCACTTTTTCATGCTCACGCCCTCCCAGAGCCCAATTCGTGTTTATGGAATGAAGGAGAAAACCCTAAAGAATGAATGAACGAGAAAGGAGTCTAGTCAGGAGGATGGCCCTGGACGCCGACTAGGAGGAGGCAGGGACGATGCTCCCGGGGCCGGGAGGCGCTCGAGGACCCCCGGACACAGTGGAGAGCGCAGACCGCGATCGGGTAGGGGCGTAGGGCCAGACAAAGGCAGCGCTGGCGGCCTGACAGGGGTGCCGAGTGGGGACGGAGGCCGCGGGCGCTCACCTCATCTCCCCATTTGAGAACGTCCTTGTGCCGATCCTTGACTGCGTGGTAGATGTGCAGGAACTGGAGGATCCCGTGCCTCCGCACGTGGTCCGCATGGCGCTTGGTTTCCTCCCAGCTCAGCGGCGAGCCCTGGGACAGCAGACCCATGGCCGCCCCCTCCTCCTCCTCCTCGGGGCTGACGGCAGCCGCCCGCTCTGGGCGCGAGCCGGACACTCAGCCGCCACCAGAAGGCGGCTGCCGCTCCACCCCGCGGGGGCGCCCTCGGGCCGCAGTCGGCAGAAGGAGGGTCCCGCCCGCTCCGGCTCCCCGGCGGCGACCCCTGGCGCCCAGGTGACAGACCCTGGGTCCGACGCACCGCGCGGACGCGGAGGCAGTAGACCAAGGGCAGGCGGGACGGCTCTCAGCCCGGGGGCCTTGCCCAGGCCGGCTCCCTCCTGCTCCTACCCCTGCTCCTTATCCGATGCGGCGGCGGCCGACCCTACGGCCGCGCTGCCGCGGCGGCTCCCGCTTCCCTTGGCCGGTGTGGTGCACAGGCTTCTTCCTACTTGTGACCAAAACCTGCGCCGCCGCCGAGCATGCCCAGTTTTCGCGTCCGCCAGCTGGTCGCTCCTGGGCGCGATCCGTCGCTCCGGGTTTTATAGACTACGGGCGAAGGCGGGGTGAGGAGGCGGTGCAGCGGCGGAGGCGTGGCCGGGAGCCGGGTGGGAACCGGCGAGGCTGAGGAGGCGGGCACCGGGGTGGCTGGGGCGGTGTGGAAGGGAGCAGCTGACGGGAGAGGGGCGTGCGGTCGGCTTCGCTTTAAACAAATGCGACTTGCGAAAATGCATTTTTTTTTAAACCAAAAGAGATGAACTTGGGGTCGAGGAAGAAAGTTGATTATTTGAATCAATGACGAACCCACCATGTTATTTTTTAGTTGGACAGGGCCTCACACTTAGAGTGAGGGCGGCAGAATGTGTTGAGAAAAATATTTACATGGGAGTGAGGTGAAACAATTCAACTCTAGGCTCCATCACTTACTGTGAGACTTGGAGAAGTTCTTCCCATATCTGCATAAAATTAGATTCTTTTACAGATGTCGTAATTATGCGCATAGTGTACATGTGTATAGTATTGACGGCCAATAAATTGACCCGATTATAAAGAGGAATCGACTTGTCGACATGTGTAAATCATCATTATTCGCTACTCTCTCGATTAACATATGTTCTCTGGAAAACGCGGACACCATTTGTTGCAAAAAGTCTCCAGATAGACCATGTGAGGAACCATTTCCAAAAGTTTATCCTCCGTGTAAACCTAAGATTCATCCGTTAAGTGATCAAAATGACGTTCATGTGAGCCTACGATGGCGGCTGAAGACACTGGGAACACCTAGCATTGACCTTATCTTGGAAGGAAACGAGTGGAAGGAATTACCTTGCCCCCAAATAATTGTTTAATAAATATGTGTTGACAGAGCAATGACCTGTCAGGGGAAAAGTGAAAGCAACTAGATCATACGTGTACCTACCAGGAAAGTGTGTATTTATCATACCCTCTTCCCTGGCACTACAGAGTTAACATTTAGTAAGCACTTATTAATTGCTTTACGAGTATATGATAGCAGGATTCCCTTCTCCCGCAGCCTTCATATTGGGTGTGCCCCTCACAGGGCTTGGGGACATGAATACCCAAGGTCTGACTGGGATTTCTACAATGGTGTGAGAGTGTGTGTGTGTGTGTGTGTGTGTGTGTGTGTGTATGTGTGTGTGGTGGGGTTGTTTGAAGTTCAGGAGATGTTTCCATCCTCATCACAAAGCTAGGATAGAGACCAAATCACTTTTAATTTTTCCACAGCCTTTTCAACAACTTCCTTTGCCCTCCCACCAACCTCACTAGATCTGTATATGGTCCTGGCACTCTGTTGTTTTCCTGCTTGAAATTCTCCACCTGACACACTCATGTTCATCCTTCGAGTCACTGTTATTCCTCTCTGTATTTTGGTTGCATTCCTATGTTAATGATAGACTCATTTTAAAAATAGCTCCACACTAAATAGTGAATTCCTCTGGGGCAGAGATGACTTATGCCTTTTGTATCTTTAATTCTAGAAAGGGGCTTGGTATAGAGTGTGTACTTAATAAATATTAGCTTCCCCATGAAAAGCAGGTAGGGGGAGGGGGGAGAAACAGTGTTTCACATGCAGGTAAGACTTTCAAAGACTATTAGGTTCTTCTCATATCTCTTCTTACATTTTCATAGACCTTCATTGTTCAACATGAAAGCCATCAGCTACCCTGGCCGATGAGCATTTGAAATGTGGCTAACATGACCGAGAAACCAAATTTTTATTTTAATTTAATCAATACAAATGTAAATTTAAAAACTGGTATTTCATTCAGTTACTGGAAAACTTATAAGTAAATTTTGAACAAGTTGGGAATGAGAATCCACATTTTTGACTGTAAATTTTATGAAATGTAATTACAGGTCAAGTATTTCCAATGAAAATTTAGTGGCCCAGATGTGCTGTGAGTGTAAGTCACACACCAGATTCTAAGACTTAATAGAATAAACGGATGTAAATATGTAAACATCTCATTAAAAGTTTTGTGTTGATTACATAGTAATATAGTATTTCAGAAATTCTGAGTTAAATATGACGTGGTAAGTTACTTAAATTAATTCACCCCCGTCTTTTTTTTTAGTTTTAAAGCAGGCTACTGAAAAATTTAAGATTACGTATTGGCTCTCATTCCACTTTACTGATACAGCACTGACATAGACCTTGATTTACACTTTGCAAAGCACATTTTTCCCATACACCTGCTGCACATCATACACTTTCCCCATACATCTGTTAGGAATCATAGGCCTGGGCGGTTCAGTAACGGACTAAATTCTAGTCTTGCTAAAGCCCTACGCGACACTGAACCTAGAGAGTTTAACACTGAGTAACTGGAGTTACTCTGTCCTAGATCCCCGCTCACACTCACATAAGGGGACCTCTCTCACCCTACCCCCCGAATTCCGAACCGGCTCCCCCAGCGGGGGTACCAGGGCTTTGAACAATCCCAAAATGAGCGCAGGCACTGTTGCTCCACAGGGTAGTTATGCCCAATTTAAACTTGGATCTCTCAGTGCCTTTAGCAGTTTCTGTTAGAAAGAAAAAACAAAAACCCCACCACAGATCAACTTTAGTCATATTTAACAACAGTCATTTCCCATCTGACAGTGCTTTGCCTGCCTAGGTCTACCGCTCGATTTCAGTCCATAGATTGCACCCAGGGCTAGGTTTCAACATCTAGAAGTGAGTTTTGAGCAGATAGTTCCAGCAGGGCTGTAACGACGGCTGAAGGGGAAAGAAGGAGCTCATATCTTGCAGAATCAGGTCTTCCCTAGACTATGACCCAAGGCCGTTTCCCGGTAGTGTCTTTCACGAAAAAAAAGCTAGACCCGCTCGCCCGGAACTCATCCCTGCTCAGCAGCGCCCCGGCACAGCATCCTCGCCTTGCGATCCCGCGGACCAACACAAGCTCCTCCCCCAGAGCCGCCAGGAAAACCTGGACCGTGGAGTTCCGCTTCGGGGGACGCCGTGCGCTCGCGAGGCCAAGCTGAGCATGCTCGGAGAGCCGGCCGGTCGCAGAAGGAAGCGGTGTGGGCCGCGGGTGGTGCACGCCGCGCCGTTGTTGTGATACAGCCCCCGCCACGTGACTTCGCGGGCCCGCCTCCCCAGCGCGCAGCACCGCCTCCCCGTGACTCAGCACTTTGTGCCGCTTGGAGCCTGAGGTCAATCCGGGGAGGCTGCTCGGGGTAAAGTCTCAGTGTATCACTCCTGACCTCCGGGCTGCTGCTCCTGCTGGTATTGCAGCTGCCATTTCAGACACAATGGGTTTCGGGCCTCCAAGGAGCAAAAAATACATCATTTTCCCCATGGTCACGCCATTCCCTGTTTCCCCTGAGTCAGCAGCTTCGCGAGATCAAATAAGGAAAACAGAGAAAGTGCCTAGGGGACTCCGAGGAAGGCACCTCTAGGTCATCTGCCCTTGCCTTTACCGCTCTCTTTAGTTTGAGTGTCCCTTGACTTTGGTGATCTGTCGGGTGGGTCCCAGTGTATTACACTCTATACCAGGCACTTTGAGCTGGTATCGGTTCAACAGTACTAATTTTTGCCACATTTTATAAGTGAGGCTACTGAGATCCCATGATACTAAGTAACAGATGGTGGCTACGCTGGGATTTGAACTCCAGTGATATTTCAAAGCTTTCTATTACACCAGTCAGCCCGGGTGAAGCTAGTGGCTGCCTTCAGTGTGATTCTTCCTGGGACTTGGTGCCAACCTTCATTACCGGCTTTTTTCTCCCTTGACACACCCTTTCCCCAAAACCCGAGCTCTCCTTGTGAAGTCCTTAAGATCTTTGTCTTTTAAATTTCTTATTTTATTTATTTAAGATGGGGTTTCACCATGATGGCCAGGCTGGTCTTGAACTCCTGACCTCAGGTGATCCACCTCGGCCTCCCAAAGTTCTAGGATTACTGGTGTGAGCCACGGCGCCCGGCTAAATTTCTTAATTGGTAGAAACAAATGGTTATTTCTTAACTTCAGTGTACATATTAAAGAACAAACGATACAGAAGAAATTTTCTCCCTACAATTAAACTATAGTTGGAATTTGACTTGATCTTATTCAAGAAAATCCCTGGGGAGCTTTATGATTGGAAGAGCGGTAGCCAAAAGACTGGGGCTTTGGCCCCAGCTCAGGGGGCTACCTGCTGGGTCAATCTAAACAAATTTGTGATAATCATTGGAGAGTCCTTTCCTCTCATCTGTTCAAATGAGAGTCTGGAGGAGATAAAGTTTCCCTTCCAACCTAAACATTCTCTGATGTCATTACTAAAATTAGTTGAAAGGGTTCAAATCTTTTTGTATTGTGTAGTACATGCTGTTGAGGTGTGCCATTGTCAAAAAAGCAAGGAACCTCTTGACCTTTTCCAAGCCGATTTTTAGTTTACATGGAACTTTGAAAAATATAAACCCGCTTATTTTCATGTAGAGTTACAAAAGGTCTGTGAGTTCAGGTGAAGACCTTGTTTAACATGGAGAAGTTTGTGCTAAAGAAGATGGGTAGAAGTCAGAAGGGGGCAAGACTGAAGATGTGGGAACAAGAAAGGATGTTTTCAGAAGCAAGATCTCTCAGGAGACCTCACTTGTTAGGATCCAGAACTCATGGGAAATGGCGAGCTTTTTTTTCTAGAAAAATATCATTGTCTTCTTAGGCTAAGGAAGAAGATAAAGACGCCATGATAATGCGCTGGGATGGGTGAGTGCTATCTGAATCCTGTAGACTCACTTTTCTCACTGGAGAATGGTTAAAGATAACTTTTTATCACGGATGTTTCCAATAAAGCACAAAAGTTGAGAGAACGTAGTGTAATGACTCTTCATATACTTTTTTTTTTTTTGAGACGGAGTCTCACTGCTTCTCAGGCTGGAGTTCAGTGGCTCGATCTTGGTACACTGCAACCTCCGCTCCCCAGTTTCAAGCGACTCTCATGCCTCAGCCCCCTGAATAGTTGATATTACCGGTGCACACCACCATGTCTGGCTAGATTTTGTATTTTTTTTTTTTTTTTGAAACGGAGACTTGCT